GGGGGGTTGATGGGTCATCTTCTCTATTTAAAAGAACGTTTCTATTTCTCTGTCCGTCTGACATTTGGATAACTCCTTTTCATTTCCCCAATCCATTTATTTTTGGGACAAAAAAACGACCAACCTTTGCTTTAGAAGAATTTACAACACCTACGTTTCTTCCAATCAGCAAAATGCATTTCTGTCACCTCTGCCATCGGCTTCCGCAATCACCACAACAGGTTCAGTGAAGAAGTGAACCACTGGCCAACAGTTATCTCATTTTCTATTGTAGATAGAACATTTATTAGCATTTACTCAGATACATTGAAAATGTACCTTCATTAAAATATTTAAAAGATAACACCTGAGCAATCCTTACGTCTTATTTTGAACTCATAGCTACAATCCTCTATTTTCCCACAGTATTGCTTCACCATCACCTACAAGATCGAGGGCCAACGGCAGTATGATCTTCGAAGCGACTCAGAGGCTGAATGCAATGCGTGGATTGATGCCATTAAGCGTGCAACGTGAGTAATTTAATGAAGATGCTACAAATTAATTTAGTAGGGAGACTAATTAATTATCCAAGATCACTCCGTGTAACGTTCGCACGGCTTTGCTTGTTTTATTAATGCTCTAACTGTAAACTCGATGTCTTGTGCCTTTGGTCGGGTCTGAAGAAAGGGGAAATAAGCACGAAAACTTAATATCTGAAAGTTAGCTCTACGACGCCAGTTCAAACAGTCATTCATTCAGTCAGCCCCTCAATGTTTGTAAAACTGAATGCCGCCACAATTTTAGCTGGATGATTTTAGGAGGACAACAACTAGATCTAGATCTAGAATCTAGATCTAGATCTAGATCTATACTGTAACGTTTGTACTGTTTGTGGACAACTTTTCTCGTACAGTTTGCTTTTGGTTTTGATCCTAGATTGTCATGATTTGTTTTCCAATGGTAGTAGAATCTATAAAGTAGTCTATCTATTCTCATCCGTTAACGTGATGATCCTTGATTGACAATGAATGATTGTGAATTATAATGATCAGAGTACGACGGCTCTAATTTACAAACATTATAGCCTATTGTAGCCTAGTAGACTAGGCTTGCGTGTATTAATAAATAACCTTAGGGGCTGAACTTTCCTGATTCTGTGGATGTCAGTACGATACTTTTTCCGGGTTGACAGACATAGTATCTAGATTCTAGATCTAATCTAATATTTAAAATAAAAGGGAGTGTACTATACAGACCCGGTAACCGGGAACAAAGTCACAAAGTATACAGTCCTTTTGTGATTTCGGAAAGTTTCAGCCCCCTCTTGGCTCAGGGTAGACCTTGGTTCTTTCTATGGCCAAGGTCTAGACAGAATTAGTCCCCC